TAGGCATCTGATAAGTGCACTAGCAGTAAAAACAAATTAAAGACACTGAGACCCTAGAAAAACGGTAACGCTGTTCGTCACTCAATATTTTTTCAGTAGTTGATGATCGAACCCACACCCTCTGGCGATAAGAGACAGGATAAGTGACAGGACAGACTGTTGGTGTAGTGGATAGTGAATCCACTACACCAACAGTGTCGTCGTTTAGTATTGTTAATAGAGACGGCATGGCAAGTTTTGTCAATGTTAAAATTGCCTATTATAGGATAACATTATGGCTGTGACACACACAACGCAGACAATTGATACTTGCACAAAGTACGACTTTCGTTAACGTTTTACATTGCTAACGTTCCCAGATTACGAAAAAAAATTCTTGGGATCTAACAAAAACCCGTCTCATATGAGATTCTTACCAAACAGCTTAGCAACAACGCCAACCGTGCCATCCAATGAAGTGATTTGTATTTTTTATTTAATAGCCAACACTTATATGGCAGCAGTTCTTCGAAATTCATTTATTCGCTCGGCCATGATTTATTACGACATTTGTTATGGGGCCAAAGTTCTAGATCGACACCCACCCACTACCAAAAGTGGAAACTAATACGTAGATGAATTTAGTATAAAAAAATTACTATCATACTGACGGCGATGACAAATATGCAACATAAGTTTTGTTCGTGCAAGGCAAGATTTAGTGGTATTGATATTTGTTCAATATTTTTATTTATAAAATATAAAAGTGATAGTAACGATAACGTTCAATATTTTATCTTTATAAGGATTTATCTTTTTATCTAGATTTTTTTTCTAAAAGCACAAAGCTAAAAGTAATTAAAAAGTACGAAGAAAAACGTACTTTTTAATTATTAGAGTGTGTAAAAATAAAACGTGGCCCGCTGAGTTTCTTTCGCCGGTTCTTCTCAGGTCAGTGTCTTTTCTTTTCTGAACCGGTGGTGGACTTTTGACTGTAAATAAGTAAGAGTAATGCTCCTATATTGAAAAAGATATTTGAATTGGAACCAAAGATAATTAAGGGCAATTAGTAATAATAAAATACTAGAATCGCCGTATTCGTCATCATTAGAGCTGCATCACTAATACTAATAAGCCCCTTTAAATCTGACACGGCGTGGTCGCGTCCTTACGTTACCTAGTTTATCACTACACTGGCCATGGAAGAGGAGGGCTCTCACCCTGCGTTGTCAAGTCACCAGATAAATGGTTGGTTAATTAAGTCTTTATCTCCCGATAGACATCGAGGGATAGCTAATTAAATCGATTGCATTTCATAATTATTTTACGAGAATATGTTTAGCGACCCGCTCAACGCGTTATCAAACGAGCGCATATTTCTCGGTCGTGTTAGCGTAATTATTTAATATAAACAATGAACGCGGCAAACGTAAAGTCTAGATTTCGGAAGGTGAATGGTGTTAAGCTAAGAATTAATCCATATCTCACAACGTTTACTCTACTCGATTGATCGAATCCAATTTTAATTCATGTGATACGTGGCCGTTATCTAAAAATTTACATATTGATCACATTAAATGCGTTAGGCGAAAGAAGCGTTACTGCGCTGTTAGCCCATAAAATGTCCACATGTTGAGTCCAGCGAACCTCACTCGATTTTGAAACGATATTTGCATATGTCACGGGTGAAGCCGAAATCCATTCGCATTTGTTTTCTTGCAATAAAAGGCGGCAAACCAACAAGCAGCCTGATGGTAGGATATCCTTTTTTTTATGTTAAAAGTTGCCAAACGAGCAGACGTTCGCCTGATGTTAAGTGAAAACCGCCGCCCATGGACATCTGCCACACCCTAGGGTTACATATGCGTTGACAACCTTTAAAAAATTGGGCTCCGGCTACCTCACTCACCAGACGAAACGCGTAAGTATTTTTCATACTTATACTTTACGCTGGTCTTCGTGGTACTTACCCGGACGGGCCTGCCCATTCGTGCAACAGCCGAGGCTACTGTGTGGCCCTACCACCGTCGATCACATATCAAAGACCACAAGTCCAGTTAGGAGGCAAATAGGTTGCCAACGAAAGTCGAACGAAAATCGATTGTATTCGTCCAAAATATCCATACCGTAATCTACGCCCGGACCCGTATTAATTGCTGGACATTATTATTTTCGCACAACACACGATTTTGCGTCTAGCATTAACATTAATTAATTTCAAAGTTTCCTTTAATGGCTCGATGATATCTGTGGCGCGTCTCGATCGACCATGCGAATCACTATCTCGATCGGTGCCATATCATCGCGAAATGTTGTCCGTTAACTTATAGGAGACCAGCTCGTCGTCAGCGGCTGTGCATGGCAGGACCACGTGCTTAATTACTTAATAAATTAACATGTTATTATATATATAGAGCGTTATATCAGACCGGAGGCTCTTGAAGGATGCGATGGACAAAGAGTGACCTAAAGTTTTCTATATGAAAACAGGCCAAGCGCGAGTCGGACTCGCGCACGAAGGATTCCGTACCATTATCTATAAAAACGTCAAAAATCATTTCTGTTGTATGGGAGCCCCACTTAAATATTTTTTTAATTCTGTTTTTTAGTATTTGTTCTTATAGCGGCAACATAAATACATAATCTGTGAAAATTTCAACTGTCTAATTACCACGGTTCATGAGATGCGGCCTGACAGACGGGCAGAAAGACAGCCAGCGGAGTCTTAGTAAATTGGGTACGGAATCCTAAAAACAGTCTAGTTAACGCTTAATTCTAGCTAAACTTTGTTTTTGTGGTATATTTTTGAATGGATTTAAAATATTGCAGTTTAATGTGTATTCGTTTTAATTACTGGGCCGAGTATCGGATGAATGGCGGTGTGAACGTATAAGAGATAAATAAACATTCGTTTTGTATATTTTAGATGTCCGTCGTTGTTAGGATTTTCGTCGTCTGCTCATTTCTTTTTAAATTACTAGATTTACCAAACAGTTTTATCTTACGTGAATTAGATTGGTAATAAATTTAGCTTAAAATATACAGATATCCTTTTTTAAAAGAAACTTGTCATTCATTTATTTTACATATTAATTAAGTTTTTTGATATTTATTTAATAATAAGATAGGTTATGAAAACCAATTCAGCGTTGATTAAAATTTTAATGTTCTTTGCCCATTTCTCTTAACTAATTTCTTGTATTTACGCGATTACACGTTACTTAATGAAACTATTTTTACGGATTTATCGCGTTTATTTTTTGTTTTAACTCCCGACGTTTCGAACCCTTTAGTGTGTTCATGGTCACGGGACAGACTGCCCATGACATGATGAAGTCTGACACGAGACAGTCATTTAGTAACTTAAATACTGCTTTATATAGGTTCGGGCGCAATATGTAACTAGATAAATTATGCAGTACATTTAATAATGTTGTCGGTCATTATCAGCTTTCCAACATACGCCTAACTGGCCGTTCTGTGCGATTTCATCCGAGAAAAACGTTTCCGATTCGCCCCCCGCCGTAGGTAGTAGCGTGATGTTAAATAACCTATAACTTTCCACAAGAATTGGGTTATCAAATGCAAAAAGATTTTTATATCCTATTGTTAGCTCCACAGATTAGCGCGTTCAAAGGAACAAACAAACACTTCTGCTTTATTATATTAGTATAAATAACGAAAAGCCGGCTTCACACTAAAAAAAGCTGCTCCAGCACTTCCCACGGAGATCATTCCTCACTTGTCACTCGCGCTTACAAATTTTCCACCGCACATTTGACAATGACCCACGGCAAGGTCGCCCCGCGAGCAAATGCACTCGCTGACTGCGCCGGCGTGGTTGCGTCATGTACACGTACGATGCACCTATATGACGCGCTCATTCTGCAAGTTTGCCGATGTAATTTTGTTCTCGATATGGTGTCAGTTATCTGTGTTAGGGCAACGCAACAGTCTTTGTTCGGTTCAATATTGAACCAAACAGCTTTGGCCAAAACGATGTTGGGGCTAACTCCTAACACCGGGTATGATGTTATAAATGATAATAGTACTGATCAGAACACTTTATTACTAAATTGATACAGTTAAAATGATACTGATAATATGATATGATATTCATGATAATTATGGTAATTAGGTATGATATTTAGAGAACGCGTGGTTTGCTTGATGACCGAACGTGAACACGAACTGTTGCACGAACGGGCAGGTGTGTCCGGTTAAGTGCCACGATATCACAGCCGGCGTGAAGTGGAGCGAGGTGGCCGGGGCCCACTTTGTTGTAATGTGACAACCCTAGGGGTGTTGCAAATGTCCGTGGATGGCGGTTGTCACTTAACATCAGGTGACCCCCCCTTGCCGACTTCTCACATTCAAAATATATACAGAGTAATACCACTTCTCACATAAAATAGATCAAGAAAAACCTTAGATATACAGAGTAAAATCTCGTGAAAGACGAGTAAGTAATAACACTAACAAATGTGTTTCACACCTATGATACTATATTTACAAATACTAGGTACATATGACACTAGCGCACCAAAACTGAGGCACTCAAATTATACAAATTGGTGTATTGGTGCTCTCTTTCTGTAGCATACGTTCTATATCATCTGCCACATCCAATTAAATATGTCAAACGATTGTTTAACACCGCGCAGTATGGGCATGCGCCACCTTTATTCAAAACTAGCGACTCGCCCCGGCTTCGCACGGCCTTCCCGGAACCCCTCCACCAACACTTAAACTTTATGGTATGGTATTAAAGTTCAAATTGACTTTTAAATACTATTAAGATTTTTTTGTATGGGAATATAGAAAAGTGTTGTTTTTAGACTTTCTCAAGGAAATTTTTAAAATTTTTCTCTCCTAAAAAAGATTAAGCGAAATCGGTTTAGCCGTTTTCGAGATTTTAGCTTAGCAACTCTTTCAGCGATTCAATTTTATATAGAGAGATAACAGATGTTAACTCATGTATCCCAAAATCAGTGCCAAGTTTCCTTAGCGCCTCCGCACAGATATAACGGACAGGCTCATAGCGATGGGCTTCCCCGCCGAGAAGTTGGAGGGCGTCTACAGGAACCACATCGACGAGGTGTACAGATTCCTAGAGCAGATGCACAAGGACCACTACAAGATCTACAACCTCTGCTCCGAGAGGTCGTACGACTCCAGCAAGTTCCACGAAAGGGTGAGTTGTTTTCCGTTACTATTAAACCCCCCTCTAGATGGAGTGATGACCGGTGCAAGTGTGCGGGAAGCCGATGGATGCAGGTGGCTCGGGATCGTGCTTCGTAGGTAAGGCCTATGTTCAGCAGTGGACTTAAACAGGCTGAAATGATGATGAACTGTTGAGAAAGAGCAGCTGTTGAGTTTCTTGCCGGTCTCTTCTCAACAGAAACTGCTTTCGGAACCGGTGGTACCTCACGAACCTACACACATAATTTTTTATGTAAATTTGACGATTCATAAGAGCGCGCAAGCGTCTATTTGAATAAATATATTTTTGATTTTGAGGACTATTAAACAAAAACATAAATATGCTATACGTGTCGACTGGAAGGACTGCAACGCGTTTGCAAGAGCTCCGGTGTTGCAGATGTTCATGGGTGGCTTTGATCACTTTCCGGCCTCCTACCCTGTTATTTTACATTAAAAAAAAACCCTTTGTCTATATGCGTGTTCTGACTCACAAATATATTTAGTTCCACCGTAAGGATAAGTTTGCACTGCCACCTACCATCGGATGGAGGATTCTGATGGAGCATAAATTTGACACACACTTTGATTCGCGAGCGGTTACATAATCCCTGGTCTAAACCAAATCCATAGGGAGCATTAACGCGTGTGGCGTTTGCGCAGCCCGTGATAACAGGCGAGTTCTATTTATGATTCATTTCGGAGAAACAAAAAGTATCAAATTACACCCTTCGTGGTGATTATAAAGTAGATTATGACAGCGAGAGCGTTAGCGAGACGAACGAACATGAAACAAAATATAAGCCCCCGATTTTCAGTTAGCGCCCTAGCGCGTCCAATTTGAATATAGAACAGTTTTGTGAAGCTCAATTGCTTCTTCCCGCGGCTTCGTCCGCTTTGTTCTTTCAAAGTAATATTTTAGTTTATTATAAATTATACGTAAAAGTTTTTAAATTAAATTTAAATCGCTCCGATCGTTGCAGGATGGAGAATGTAAACGCGCATATTTATACAGGAGCTTTTTCATATTAGTCCGATTGCTCATAGCAATAATTTATGTATTTTAATACATAGATTACCATTTATAAGTCTTGTTTATTCATTGAGCATATTTAGTTCAATTTTTTTTAATCGCGGTGCGTTTAGTAAAAATTTGTAGGGTGCGATAAGTTTTCATCAGCATTAACTTTAAAGTACATTTAATAAAATATGCTTTATATACAAATATTTGAATTAATTGTTAAATACATTTTCATTCAACTACCACCATTTCGGCTTAGTCTTACATGTTGTCTATATAAAGGATTATGGTGACACGGTTCGTCGTCCCGCTAAAGCGATAAAATAATTATTTTTATTATTTGAACTAAACCGAGCCCCGTACTTGATTTCATTAAATCAAAATTAAAATCACGACCGCAAATTGCAGCCTGACGCGAAACCACCGTTTGTGGTTCACAAAATATTTGTGGATCGAAGTGCACCTCCCACGCCGTGCAATGGAGTGATGACTACTTAATCAATTACGCAATCGCCGCAGTAAAGCCTTTATGACATTGAACACAGGTCCTTTGTTTGAATCATGTATTCAAAAATTGATTTAATTCTCACGGATTATACGCATTATAGGCGTGGTAGCTAAATTGCTGGGCATTTTTATGGTTCCGTACGCAAAGGGTAAAACGGGACCTACTATTACTAAGTCCCCGTTGTCTGTCTGTCTGTCTGTCCGTCCGTCCGTCCGTCCGTCCGTCCGTCCGTCCGTCCGTCCGTCCGTCCGTCCGTCCGTCCGTCCGTCCGTCCGTCCGTCTATCACCAGCCTGTATCTCATGACTGTGAAAATTTCAATTATCTACCTACAGTTAGACAGTTGAAATTTTCACAGATTATGTATTTCCCTTTATAACAACAAATACTAAACAACAGGATAAAAAATATTTAAGTGGGGCTCCCATACAATAGTCATGAATTTTTGCCGTTGGTCGAAACCCTTCGTGCTCGAGTCCAACTTGCACTTGGCCGCTTAGTGTGCTGAAGCAATTTTACTGAGAAAATAAGGGAGTGGCGGATTGACATGGTATGGGCAAGTCATGAGAATGGATAAAAGTAATGTGACTATAAAAGTGATGAGTATGAATGTCGTTGGAGGGTGTAAAGCTATAGGAAGAACGAGAAAGATTTGGATGGACTGTGTGAAGAGTTGTGTCTGTGAAAGGGGTGAGTATTGAGATGATGTCTCATAGAGGAAATTGGTAGGACTTGATGTGCTGACCCTATCCAGCGTGGGATAAGGGCAGGAGAAAGAAGAAGAAGATAGTCGAGTAATTTGAGTTCGTGAAATTGTTAATTGTAAATATTTGTAAAAAAGTGCTGACTTATCACGTGCTCAGCGCTGATGGAAACAATGAGATCTTTGACCAGCAGTGGGACATTTATAGGTTGTTACTTTACTTTTACTTAACATAATTATACAAAATCAGCTTAGCCTATTTTTGGCCAGCGCTCACGCGACTACCATACAAAAGTTTTGAACTGAATAGCGTGTTGATTAGCGAAGAACAATGCTGGCCGTTACGGAATGCAGGGTAATTGTTTAAAGATAACTCTCCTGTAAAGTACAATTCATTTATAATGGTAATAATAATGGTAATTTTTATTTGTCAGCCCAATCAAATGTGCTGTACATTATGATTTTATAACGTTGCATGTTGTTGGAACTTGACTTATCAAACTAAGCTTGATTTGTGTCATAGCATCATCGGCTCGTCCTCACCCTCTTATAAATTTTATAGGTTTACAGTTTCTAGAAAATTCTCTATCAACTATTGCATTTTATCGTTGCGTATTGTACTCCCAATAGTACTCGTTGGCGTTTCGAATAAAGTAATATCTTTTAGCCCAAACGATATTATTTTTTATACGGCCGCTGCATGGTGCAGAAATTCAAGAGGGAGAGGGATTTTATTTCTCGCCAAACTTAACCGCGACGCTCGTGTTTTACATAGATATTAAAGTGGACTAGCGTCGGTCGAGACGGGTCGGGCTTAGGGCGGGTATGAGCCTTATTTAGGTGTCCTAAATTTAAATTTCAAATTTCCCCACGATCGGCGTCACCGCAGCGCCTCGCAACGGTGGGTCTCCCCTTCGCTTGGACTAATTAAAGTGGTGAACGCCGGTCCGAACGGACCGCGCGGCGGATGTTTGTGGAAACAAAGGGAACCAGTTGAGAACAGCGTACTAGATATATTACTCGTGCTCGACGGTGTAGGAATCCATTGTGAGGAAAGCTGAATATTTTAGAAATAATAACAGATAAAAAATATATCGGAGATATGTGGAATCCGGCAATCCGCAGTGGGGTCTCGTGGCGCATTATGTCCTAATACGCTCTGTATAAAATAAATCATTGCCCAGCAGTGTGACATATGTAGGCTGTTACTTTACATTTAATATATTGTTTTCACGTGGACGATTTTTTTCTATCGAATTGAAATTATGATCGATAAAAACAAATTGATAAATTTTACGTGCAATACGGGAACGACATCATGCCGCTTGTATTTCAATTCTCGGTACAGAGTTCTTATCGAAGACAGAATTGGCATAACTACAGTGGTAAAGTGTTTTCTCACAAAGTTTTCCTTCATTAGCGGGCACGTGGCACGTTTAAAACTGTAACTAACAATTCTATTGGTGATAATAAGTACCGGAATTTAAACTGGTCGCTTGAGTAGATTCAGTTGATTATTTGGAGTCGTTATTAACATAACAATTATTAATAAGGGCAGCCCAATAATATTGACTTGTGCAAATCGAAGGGTGATTCATTAGGCGAGCTAAGGGTTGAGCTAACAAGGGCCAACTTTATAAGTTCCTTAAATCATTTCCATCCCTTTATTTTTTCGTAACGGTTCAGATAATAATAATAATAATGCTATTTAATGATAACATTTTTAATTACACAACACAAGTAATTCTAATATAAATGAGCAATCACCGCTCGCATCTCTAATTTATCTTTTCTTTATCTTTTGTATTTGATGTGATAGAAGTTTAATCACGAAAATCGATTGTTTCGTTGGCGGTGATCGGATCGGGTGTATACGAATAAGCGATTACTAACATCACGTTATGTTTGTTAGTCAAGAAAATCATCAATCAAGTTAATTATTTACATGTTTACAGTCACGTGCACCGCAAACCACTGCGCCGTATAATCTAAAGGGCTTTTTGTACATCGTGACATACGAACGCAAGCGGTTCATGATATGACGGTGAGCGATAGCCGTGGCAAAAGCGACACAACCAACTAAGTCCAGACAATTTCAAACATTGATGACTCCGTGGCGCAGTTGCCTAGGCATTGGCTTCGGAGTCCGGGGTCGTGGGTTCGATTCTCACACGGGACAACTATTTGTGTGGCCCACAGATAGTTGTTTCGCATCTGGGCGTTTGTCCACGTGAAATTCTTGTTTGTAAAACGGCCTTATAACACAGGATAATGTTATCCTAAAGTAAGGGCAACGTTATTTAAAAAAAAAACCATGTAAGAGCTACCCAAATGGAAGGGGGGGGGGGGCATTTATAATTTAGTATATAACATTGAAACATGTAGAAAAAGTACGAAAAGATTGTCGCCGCTGTGGGAATCGAACCCACGTCTTCGGCATTCGCGGCCTGACGCTCTAGCCACTGAGCTAAACGGCTGACAGCCACAGCGACGAGAATCTTAACGCCTTCTTTCTACATTGTTATTTAGGATTTGAAGCAATGCTTGGCGCATCTATTGTTATATCCTTTCCAGCATACAAACAATTTCGAATATCGTTTTACAACGATAATTCGAACGAGAGAATGCCGAAGACGTGGGTTCGATTCTCACAGTGGCGACAATCTTTTCGTACTTTTTCTACATGTTTTAATGTTCAATCTTAAGTGCAGAGATTAGCACTATAAAAAACTTAAAAATTTATATCACATTAAAAACAAAAA